GTCATAAAATGTAAACCTTGAGAGGTTAAGTTCGTAACAACAATGGTTTATAGATGTCAGCCTAAATGCTGCCATTGAGTGCTACAGCCAAAAAGTGGCTAATGATATTTTTGATATTTTTATACCATCACATGACACCAAAGTCACCAAATTTGTAGGTTTTAGCTGTCTGTTGTTGTTGTTTTTTACTGAAGTAAAATAAATTAAATGCAACATAAAAATAAGCATATTGTACATAAACATGTGGTACATTTAGAGGTAAATAAATAAAAAAAACACACCAAAAAAAGCATAAATTGATAGTTTTTTTATTTTATCGAAGATAGTGATATTACATTTATTTAAAAAATAAATATATTGTGACCCTGGACCACAAAACCAGTCATAAGGGTCAGTTTAAAAAAAAAATTTGAATAGATTTATATATATATATAAGCTTTCCATTGATGTAAGATTTGTTGAAGATGAAGTTCTTAGCAATGCATATTACTAATGATAATACATTTTTTATATATTTTCGGTAGGAAATTTACAAAATGTCTTCATGGAACATGATCTTTACGTAATATCCTAATGATTTTTGGCATAAAAGAAAAATCGATAATTTTGACCCATACAATGTATTGTTGGCTATTGCTACAAATATCCCCCAGCGACTTAACACTGCTTTTGTGCTGCAGGGTCACAACTGGGATCACACCTGATCCAGTTAAGGGCTGCTATACGAAGGATGCATGAGAGTTAATGGCACATGTTTGTTTTTTACAGTTTGATTATGGCACCTCTCACCATTTCCACACATCATCCGCTGCCGTATCAGTGCGGTTTGCATCTGTTCATGCAATCCAAGAGGAGTCCTGAGCTCTCGTCTGGATCACCTGCAGCGCATGAAGATCTACCTCTCAGTCATTATCACCGAACGTCCGTCATGAAGATCAGAGTCTGTCTGTGGCCGGTCATCCGGAGGGTCCTGTACTTCTGCGCGAGTGTGATTTGCTCCAAGATTTGTTTCTTCATCTGTGTGGGGAAAAACATGACCGGCGAGTCGAAGAAGAGCGGCGTGGAGGCCTTGGAGAGGCCTGGAGGCGAGATCGGGGATGCAGCTTCAGAAATGAAGGATCCGGAGGTTATTATGGAGCTCGAGTCTGCTGATGAAGAGCGGGAATCGTCAGCGATTGATTGGGATGAAGAGGAAGATGAAGATGAAGCCAGGCTCTCAGAATGGGAGTCTGATGAAGAAACCAAAGATGAGGAGGACTGTGAGACCGAGGATGAGGACTCTGAATGGTCTGATGAGGATGAAGGTGACTCTGAGGCTTCAGCAGAGAGTCTTGAGCTTTGGGAATCGTTTCTCAACAGCGGTGACCCCTACAACCCTCTGAGCTTCTGCTCGTCCATCGGCTCCAGAACAAACACGGAGCAATGCTCACAGATCAAAACTCAACCTAAACCTGAAACAAGACCAGAAGAATGCGAGCCAAAACCAAAGGAGAAGGTAAAGATATCATGGAAATCAATGCTATTTATATACTATTATAATATTTGGAGTTGGCTTTTATTGTTATATTTTCGGCTATCATTTTTAAATTTAGTTTGTTTTAGTAGTTTTATTTTTTAGCAATTTTAGCATTTCAGTTTTAAGCTTATTTTATTTGAGTGATTTTCCAAGGCAGCATTTATTCATTTGCATTTAAGTTTAACATCTAATATTGATAGTTTATTGTATTTTCATTCACTTTTTACGTTTTTAATTGTTTTAGTTAATAACAGCAACCAACTTTTAGATGTACACACAAAACAAACCAAACAAGAAATTAATCAAATAATATTTTATACCATTTTTTTATTTTATTGTTTAAAGTAAAATAAATACCATAAATTGATAAAAGTAAATAAACAATAATAAATCAACCTAAAACCCCCACTATTTATGGTATTCTAATGTATAGTACATAATTCTAGACAACATTTCTAATTTTCTTAAAATTTTTTAAGTTAAAATATTTCAACGAATATTTTATTTCAGCTTTATTTAAATTAACGATTAAATTATTTAAGTTTTAGTTTACAGTAACAAAAGACAAAACAAATAAAATATTATACACAACAGTATTTAAATAATATACGTAATATATTTAAATAGTGACAAGTAAATAAACCGTGATTTAAATAATAAATAAACATAAAACACTATTTATGGTATTGTGAATTATACATAATTCGTAAAAAAAAAAGAAAGACATAAAAGTGGCATAAAAAAGTGCCAAAAAGTGATGCGAGATTGAGCAACATGCCAAAATAAAATGTCCATGAGACAAAGTCAGCGAACGAGATTTTCTAGTTGCTATAATAAGGCTGAAAATACCAAAGCATCCTCCCATAGCAACAGCTGACGGCAGCTAGTATTGAAATGACTCTCTGTAGCTCAGTAATCACGTGACGCATGTGACTCATGCCGCATGACTAACATGCCTACGGTTCCTGCGGTCAGGGTTTGAACAGGAACTCTAGCGTGTGCTCTCCTGATAACATGCTGGTGTTTTCTTCTGTTTCAGGTGTGTTTCAGTGATAAGGTGACTGTGTGTCCCCTGGTGGCGTGGAGTTTCGCGAGCCGGGCAGCAAGGGACGGCTCTTGTTGGATGCAGATGGCCAGAGACCGAGAGCGATTCAGAAGAAGAGCGGAGAGCATCGAGACGCTCCTTAAGCCCTGCCTGACGGCTGACCACCGAGCCGGCGTGTGGGAGAGACTTCAGAGAAAAACATCCTCTTAATACATCACCATCCAGCTTAATGTAGTATCATCATAATGTAGCAGCAGTTGAACTAGATGCTGGTTTTAGTCGTGAAATCCAAATGTTTTTTTTTTTTTTTTTTTTGTGTAATTTATATTGTTATAACATTGTGGTGCACTTTATTTCTATGTCTTTGACTTTATTGATGTTTAATTTTATGTTCTGCACATGTATCATTTTATTGTACTACAAAACATGGTTATTCTGACACAGACTGAATATTTTATATGGCAGCTGAAAAATATTAAACTTTTCTGACATTTATTCTATGTTGCTTGTAAGGTTAATTTTTCAATGTGTATGCTTTTTTTTTCTATGCACTTAAAGAAATAGTTAAATAATAGCTAAAACTTTACCCATCCTCAGGCCATCCAAGATCAGGATGGGTTTGTTTCTTCATCAGGTTTGGAGAAATGTAGCATTGCATCAGTGTCTCAGCAATGGATGCTCTGCAGTGAATGGGTGCCGTCAGAATGAGAGTCCAAACAGCTGATAAAAACATCACAATAATCCACACCACTCCAGTCCATCAGTTAATGTCTTATGAAGAGAAAAGCTGCATGTTTGTAAGAAACAAATCCATCATCAAGACGTTTTTAACTTCAAACTGTTGCATTCAGCAAAAATATGAGTCTATAATATTGCTTCCTCCAGTGAAAAAGTCCATCTCCTGTTTTCTCACGTCAAAATCCACCCACATATTTGTTTTGGCTTGTAAATGGTGCATATTGTAAATCGGTGCATATTTCTCTCTTGATTCAGATGACAACTTGCATAAAGCAATATTACAGATCGAGAACTCTGTATTTTCTCTATTTTGGCGACATTTATTCTATGTTGCTTGTAAGGCTAATTTTTCAATGTGTATGCTTTTTTTTTTCTATGCACTTAATAGTTAGAAATAGTTAAATAATAGCTAAAACTTTACCCATCCTCAGGCCATCCAAGATTAGGATGGGTTTGTTTCTTCATCAGGTTTGGAGAAATGTAGCATTGCATCAGTGTCTCAGCAATGGATGCTCTGCAGTGAATGGGTGCCGTCAGAATGAGAGTCCAAACAGCTGATAAAAACATCACAATAATCCACACCACTCCAGTCCATCAGTTAATGTCTTATGAAGAGAAAAGCTGCATGTTTGTAAGAAACAAATCCATCATCAAGACGTTTTTAACTTCAAACTGTTGCATTCAGCAAAAATATGAGTCTATAATATTGCTTCCTCCAGTGAAAAAGTCCATCTCCTGTTTTCTCACGTCAAAATCCACCCACATATTTGTTTTGGCTTGTAAATGGTGCATATTGTAAATCGGTGCATATTTCTCTCTTGATTCAGATGACAACTTGCATAAAGCAATATTACAGATCGAGAACTCTGTATTTTCTCTATTTTGGCCAGAAGCATTTCAAGTTAAAACACCTCGATGAATTTGTTTCTTGCAAACTCACAGGTTTTTGCTTCACGAGACATTAACTGATGGACTGGAGTGGTGTGAATTATTGTGATGTTTTTATCAGCTGTTTGGACTCATTCTGACGGCACCCATTCACAGCAGAGCATCCATTGCGGAGACACTGATGCAACGCTACATTTCTCCAAATCTGATGAAGAAACAAACCACATTTTGGATGGCCTGAGGGTGAGTAAATGTTCAGCAGATTTACATTTTGGGTGAACTATTCCTTTAAATATTTCAATTGCACATGTTTGCATGTAGCTGACAAAATGCATATGAACCTGAAGTATTACAAATACTGTACAGATAGGATTTTGATGAGATATAGCATGTCAATCTACTACAAATATAGAAACATTCTATGCAACAATGTCACCTTACCAGCACAGTATCGATGCATTTGAGAAATGTTAGAAAGTGTTTTGGAAGGATTAGGCGCTTAAGCACGAACACATTAAGAAAGACATCATGCACTGCTCAAACGTGTTAATTTGCAGCATGTTTTTATTAAATAAGGTGTAAAAATACAAGCAAACTCATTTGGTTACAAAATCATTAATCAGTGGTAGTTACAAAATTATTAATCGGTTACAAGTCACAAAAATAAATTGTCTTTGTATACTGGGTCCCTGAGTTGCATCTGGGTAACACACACACACACACACACACACTCACACATATATTATAGCCATTGCATTGGCTTACAGTACATACTGTGCATTGCATGAGCAGAAAGTTACACAAAAATACAAAATCACACTGCTTTAGAAAACTACAGCTCTGGATGAGTGGCTAAGCATTAATAATTCAGTTGCTCTTTGAAATACTGAAGCAATGTTTTGGCATCGGAAGCAAGCAGCATGAATGTGCCATTTGTGAACAAACCACAGCTGAATTTGTGTTTTTATTGCATACTGCACACAAGGTTTTTTGGCATTTCGATAAATAATTTTGCAATGATCAACAGCAATTTGTTCTTTGACAAATGAAGACACAAACTGCAAAAGGCCTTTGTACAGTGTTGTAAAATTTGTGAAAAGATGAAGGTAAAACTGATGTTTCTCTATGAGAAAGCATTAGATATGTATTTATCTATATTTAGCCTGTGTGAAGACATTCAGAAAAGGACAAACTTTCTTCTCGAGCGAGATTTCATTTACATTGTTCACCAAACTATTGTCATGCAGTGTTTTAAAATCATTCACTCAATGCATTCATTTCACAGTAGTGCATTTATGCTGCATCATAACTCAGTATAGAGGTATCAGGCCTGCGGATGCCATGCACTGGGGGTAAATAACCTCAGTGTTTTCCCCTGAATTAATTCAGACCATGTGTCCTAAATCTATTCACAATAAAGGTGCACCAAGTAATTTTCAACACAGTCCTATTGGCAAATATGTTTAAAGTGATGTACCTTCACATGAGATAAAGACTCAGCAGCCTAAAAAATCCTCCTAATATGAAAGTAAATGAATTGTTGAATGTTATGGAATAAATGCATGTGAATAGCGAAATGTTTCCTTTTGTGTAAAGCTGCGTAGTCAGTATAAAGTCCAAGACCTTTGTTATCTTAACCAGTGAAACAAAGAAAAATCACTTAAATGTATTCATTGTTGTCAAAAAAGGCAACTAACTAGTAGTACTACTGTGAAATAGCATGCTTTGTGTTAACATAGTCATATAGCACTCATGTATAGCTGAGCCGCCTCATTACAGGTGACGTTAAATGAGATTTTTCACAATATTAACATACAAATAAGCATTACTATCCTCATATTTAATTTCTGGCTCAACTGCTGGTATGGACATCTGCTTTATGAAGCCCCCTTCCCAATTTTGTTTTATATGCAGTAGCATATAGTAGAATAATTACCATTTTTTAATGTTTTTGAAAGAAACTTCTTACGCTCACCGAGTCTCTTATGCTTGAATTGAAATACAGTAAATATTATTACAAATTAACTACTTTAATATATTGTAAAATGCAATTTTATTCCTGCGATCAAAGCTGAATTTTCCGCATCATTACTCCAGTAATTATTGGTGCTCAATTATTAATAATAGTTCTTATTATTAACAATGTTGAAAACAGTTTTGGCCACTTAATATTTATGAGGAAACTGTAATACATTTTTTGGGGGATTCTCTGATGAATGGAAAGTTCACAAGAATAGCATTTATTTGAAATAGAAATCTTTTGTAACATTATAAATGCCATTTTTGATCAATTTAATGCATCCTTGCTGAATAAAACTATTAATTTCCTTCTTTTTTTTTTTTTTTTACTTACCCTAAACGTTTGAATGGAAGTGCATCACGGTTTCCAAAAAAAAAAAAAGTAAGCAAACAGCAAACGCTGAAGACTGGAGTAATGATGCTGAAAATTCAGCTTTGCATCACAGGAATAAATTACATTTTAAAATATATTCACATAGAAAATGGTTATTTTAAACTGTAATAATATTTCACAATATTACTGTATTTCTGATCAAATAAATGCGGTCTTGGTGAGCAGAAGACACTACTTTCAAAAACATTAAAAAATCTTAAAGGGGTGATTGATTGCGTTAGTTAGTGTGTAATGTTGCTGTTTGAGCATAAACAATATCTGCAAAGTGACGAAGCTGAAAGTTCAATGCAAACGGAGATATCGTCTTTTAAAATTCTGGCAGTTTAATGCCTACAAAAACGGCTGGTAGGGACTACAACGAGTTACTTCCCGGGTTTGTGACATCACAAACCCAGATAAACCCCGCCCTCAGGAAAAGGCAGCAAAGGGGGCGAGGCCATGCTGCGCTGCTTTAGAGAAGAGGAAGAGAAAACTAGAGGTGCACGTAAAAATCTGTTCATATATGAATCGAGATTCTGTCTTCTAACGATTCTAATGGATTCACAAGATTCAAAATCAATGTTCAAAAGCAACTGTTCTTAATACTGTTCCTCGCGTTCCCTGCTCTACACACGCTCTGCATCTCTCTCTCTCTCTCTCAGCTCAGCTCCAACAATGAACTGTTCCAATTATACACTTATTTTCACATGGCTAAGAGAAGCGTTATACATGGACGTGCGTGCAGTTGCCGTACTGTATTAAAGCTTTAATCAGGATAAAACCGTATATATTAAAAGCTAGCATTTACAAATAACAGCATATCGAAAAGTAAGAGACAGCAACAAACAAAAAACATAGGTCTACCATTAAAAGCCGTGCTTGCACAGGTACTGCACGATCCTCTTCAATAATATCCTCCGC